AATACTAGAAATAATATGGGACAAAAAATAAATCCACTTGGTTTCAGACTTGGAACAACTCAAAGTCATCATTCTTTTTGGTTCGCAAAACCAAAAAATTTTTCCATGGGTCTACAAGAAGATGAAAGAATACGGAATTGTATTAAGGACTATGTAAAAAAAAATAAGAAAATATCCTCAGGTTTCGAAGGACTTGCTTATATAGGAATTCAAAAAAGAATAGATTTGATTCAGGTCATAATCTATATTGGATTTCCCAATTTATTAATAGAAGGACGAACACGGGGAGTCGAAGAATTACAGATGAATGTACAAAAAGAGTTTCATTCTGTAAACCGGAGACTCAACATTGCTATCACAAGAATTGAAAAACCTTACGGACAACCTAATATTCTCGCAGAATATATAGCTTTACAAAAAAGAATAATTATCACAAGAATAATTATGCGATTCATTCACGCGCGGTGTCGTAACAAAATGGGTGTCTTCCCTAGGCAAAATCGACATTCCAGACGCACCGGCGCTGTCTGTTTTGCCGTCAGAGGTCGTTTCGACGAATTCACCGATTTGTGCGTCAATTTTCTCGTGTCGAAAATATGGCAATATGGGTGTCCTTTCCTACCAAAATGGGTACCCCGGACGCGTTGGCGCAATCCAATTTGTCGTCGGAGGTCATTCGGAGAAGTTCGCATTTTCACCCGTCCTTCTTTGGGCTTAATTGAAGTCCGATTTCGCGCAATTTCGTGAATTTCGTGTATTTGATGTGTGTATGTGACGAAAAAAGTCGTGACGATGTTTTCCTAAGGCTTGAAGTCCTATTTGGAACATTTTCCTTGAATCTACGCAACATAGCCCATAACCGCTCGTTCATAAGACGATGATCTTGTGCCAAGATGCTAGACATCAAAGGAAAATAGGAATTGGCTGGAATTTCTAGAAGGGTGAGTCTCAATTCTAGTTTTCTAAGATGGTCCATAGGAATTTCTAGAGCTAGAACCTAGGCTCTAAGGAGGAGAAGAAAAGACCTCACAAAAATGAGGTCAACAATGTGTGAGTTGGTGATGGATGTAAATATGAAAGTGTGGATGGCTGCCTTAACTTGTTTCAATTGAGGTTTTGGAGGGGTTGTAACTGTTCTCATCCTAATCAATTGAGTTACTTCTACTGTTTTTTCAAGTGTTTGCTTTCTTACTGCTTGAGCTACAAAGTATGACATTCATTAGTCGTTTTTTCAAGTGCTTGTGTGGTGGATTAGTTGCGGTGGATGCGTGAGGTGGCTTGGGTGTGATCTTCTGGCTTTTGGGTGTGTGAGAGTTGGTGTTGGATGTGTGAGGTGTGCTTGTCTGTGTGGTGGATTAGTTGCGGTGGATGCGTGAGGTGGCTTGGCTTGGGTGTGATCTCTCTCCTGGCTTTTGGGTGTGTGAGAGTTGGTGGTGGATGTGTGAGGTGTGCTTGTGTGTGGTGGATTGGTTGTGGTGGATGCGTGAGGTGGCTTGGGTGTGATCTTCTAGCTTAGGATGTGTGAGTTGATGGTGGATGTTAATATGCAAGTATGAATGGCTACCTTAACTTGTTTCAATTGAGGTTTTGGAGGGGTTGGAACTGTTCTCATCCTAATCAATTTTGAGTGACTTCTACCATTTTTTTAAGTGTTTACTTTCTTACTACTTGAGCTACAAAGTATGACCTTCATCAGTTGTTTTTTCAAGTGTTTGCTTTCTGTAGAAGTTTAGCTGTTTTTTTTTTTTCGTCATGATTTTACTGGGTTGCATTTTCTCTTACATCGCTTTGTTTCTTTTTAAAGAATTTCAATGAGTAAGAACAAGGGGGTTGGAGCATCGACCATGTGGGATAGAAATGTCACTATTATTTTTTGCGACCTTTGTTTGAAAGAGATAGAGCTGGGCAATAGACCCACCACCCATTTTAACAAACAAGGGTGTCAAAATGTTGATAGGATAACATTTAAGAATAAGGGAGACCAACTAAAGAATGATTAGGAGGCATGGAAGGAACTGAAAGGGGATCCACAGGATTGGGTTGAGATCCTGTGAAGCGGACAATAGATGCTTCAGAGGCTTGGTGGGCAGAGAAATTACAGGTAATAACCTATCCGATGAATGCTTCCTATCTTACTGTATTTACTACGACGCTGGTTGAACTAATAGATTGGTCATTTATTGCAGGCAGTTCCAGTCGCTAGAGCATTCAAAGTCAGTGGCATTGATTCAGTTCTAGAGAAGTTGGACAGTATGTTCAGTGCGTTTTTGCAATGGGAACTAATGTGTTCACCCCAAGTGAGCACGACTTTACAGGCACTCTGGATGAGTCGGAGGCAGAGCAGTTAGGTGATTTTGGTGGAATCCCCAGCCCAAGTGAGAGGAAGCAGGAGTCCACAAGCAAGTTAAAGCGGTCTAGGTTTGAGAAAAGAAAAAAAGGAGCAGTTTTCGTCAGAAGCTCAATAAAAGAACTGCTAGAATCATTTAAAAGTCAGGCCTATACTTCACGGGACGCATCCGTACGTGACTTTATTCGAGTTATTGAAATGTATCTTAAAGTTAAGTCGGATAAGGTATTCTACATGAAGTTGTTGAAGTTGTTGGAAGACCCGACACATAGAGAGATATCATGCAGATGGATGATCTCCGAGTTTACTATTTGCATTTTTTTATGGACCAATGATGTAGTGGAGTTATTATGTGTTGCTTTTGTTTGCTTTAGATTGTTTCGTTGTATTTTTTTATGTACATAAGTTGTTTATATGTTTTTTTTTTTTCATTCGCCGTTTGTGACATGGATGTTTATTTGCGTTCTGCTCATAGTTTACTTTCAGTACTAATATATTCTTTATGAAGTTCTCTGCTTTGCACTTATTGCCTTCGTAGAGAATTAATCATGATGGATCGCCAACAATTGATAAGTCGAGGAAAAGTTGTGGCGGTTATGATTCTTTTGTACTAATATTACAACTCCTATGTCGACCGAACTCCCTGCATGACATCGAGTTATATCAGTGAAAAATAGATAGGCGAGCTACTACGTGGACACACCACACAGTTCAGTAACATGTTATGTATGACAAAAGTTATATTTCTCGATCTACTCAAAGAACTACACAGAGAACATGGGCTGCATGACTCAAAAATGACAGCAAGAAAAGTGTTAGCAATAACATTCTACATTTTATTAGATAACGAATCAATCAGAGGAGCAATGAGCGCTTCCAGCATTCATTAGAAACAATCAGTAAACATTTCTCGGTGGGGTTGAGATCGCTTATCAGTCTAGTAGCTGCGATCATTAAGTTAGAAGATCAAACATTCGGGGCAACTCCGACAAATATTGCAAATGAACCGCGGTACATGTCATTTTTTAAGATAAATTTCTATAACACATGATATCCAGATATCAGAAAAGTTCCATGACATGCACAACTCTATAAAATCTGACAGAACTGCATTGAAGCACTTGACGAAACACACGTGAATGCACGAGTACTTAACATTGAGAAGGTTGCATACATTGGGAGGTGTGGAGCTCTTACACAAAATGTGATGGTTGTGTGTGACTTCAATATGTGCTTCAATTTTGTGATAGCTAGTTGGGAAGGTAAAACACACGACAATCGTATTTTCTCATTTGCGACACGAGACCAACTCCACGGCTTCCCGCACCCATCTCCAGGTTTCAAAATATATCAATCACCATCGTTTTTTTTAATTTCTCAGAAACTATTGTCTTTCGACAGGTAAATATTATTTGGTTGATACTGAATATCCTTTACAAAGGGGGTATCTGAAGTCATACACAGATAAAAAATACCGCATTCATGATTTTGAAAAATTCAGCTGGGTCGCAATCGGTATGAAGGAAATGTTTAACAAGAAACACTTCTCATTACGCTGCGTGATCGAAAGATCATTCGGAGTGTGGAAGAAATGAGTAATATTACATGATATACCGACTTACTTATTCCGAAGCAAGTGCAGATAATAGTGGTCACTATGTCACTACACAACTACATTCGACGACACCCCTTTAGATCAGATGTAGACTTCATTCTTGCAGAAGATGATCAGCTACAGACCCCGCCAGAAACATTTGAATTCCATGTGGGGCAGTCCATACCACAGCTAGAAATGGAATCACAGGATGCTGATATAAGAGACGGTGAAGGTGCATCGGAGATAACAACGTTGAGAGAGCAGCTAGCATATGATATTTTTGAATCTTCACCTGTTAATTTAAGAAATTCTATGTTTACTGTGTCTTAATTGTATCATGGATATTTTTGGATTTGAAACTTTAATGTGATTGCCTTCTGTTTATCTTATGTCTGAGTTTTATATGTATTTTTTTCTTTTTTTTTGGGTGGCTTGTGAGGTACATGATGAAACTCAAGACCTTATGAGTTCTTTTGGATGATCTGTTCCTCATTGTGGGTTCGTGTTGCGTGTCAAATTCCAATGAAGGCAACCGAGTAGCTTTGTTCTTCTGGATGCATCAGGTTTTGAGATTTTTCTAGATGGTTTTTTTGTGTGTATATGCACAATGAAGGCACCCAAATACTTTTGTTTTTTTCGGGTTAGGAGGTTCTTAGGCTACTATGGATGACCTTTTTTGGTGGTTGGGACATGTGACACATGGAAGACTGATTATATGAGGGTTAAAGGCAACTAAGAATTCATTTTTTTACAAGGTCAAGTGTCGTATTGTAGGGACAAATTCGTTTGTTGGCGTGGTGAGTTATCTGAGCCCTCGCACCTGCCCTTTTTTTTGTATTCTTTTATTTTATGTTTCAATTTTTTTTTTCTTGGGCTTCTGAGATACGTGATGAGACTTTGGCCCTTATGGGCTTTCGGAGTGCTCACGTCTGATATTTTTTTTCTAATCAGATTTTCTTTTCTTGATTCAATACTGTGTCTTATTTTCAATTTCAACATTTTTTTTCTAATTTATCTAATCTTACAGCTGACGTTTTCTCTTTTTAATAATTGTAGGACGATGAGCTCCAGGTTTTGGGGATCTCTGGGCATGTGCTATGCCGCTGCGGACCGCCGTCTTTGTTACCACTTCACGTTGGTCACATAGCTACGGGTGGCAGGTCTACAGGTGTCTGCGGTGGGCAGACGGGTCGGATGACTGTACGTTCTTTAGGTGGACAGCCAGTCCGCCCGAGTCTACGGTAACCCAAATGAAAAATGTTGTTTGAGGTTCGACGGTGTCTCAACCGTAGATAGTTGCTCGAGGTTTGATGGTATCTGAACCAGACAATGTTGCTCGGGATTCTAAGGTGTCCCAATCGAACTACGTTGCTCGTGACGTTCTTCTATGTTTTAAAATGAATATTGTCACTATTTTACTTGTAATTTTAACATATTATTTCTTCTTTTTTATTGTCATTCTTTTATTTGTAATTTTAACATGTTATTTCGTCTTATTTATTAGGTATTTTGATACTCACTATTAAGTCAGGTGTATATCCTCTTTTGTACTGTTGTGAAGTGATTTTATTTGTTGTGAATATATAATTTGTAGCCATTATAGTTTTGTTTCAAACCGCACAATAGCTGCGTGCCAGGTTGGTCATTTATCGAGAAAATGTTGCGAATCAGCTGTTTTCCAAACGCTCAAACCAAACAGTTAAACAACCTATCCAGAACAGGAGCATAATAATAATTTATCCAGAATCAACTGTTTTCCAAACGCACAAACCAAATAGTCAGCTAGTTTATCAGGATAAGCTGTTGATAAGCTGTTTATCTGGATAAGCTGGATAAGCTGCAGCTGCTCCAAACAGACCCTAAGACTGTGGTTTGTCATATTTATGAATTGTGTTAAATTTTATGACTTTTAAATTCTTCTGTTTTGAGGGCCATGCCTCAGTTTACCTCGAGGCTTATGCCTCGCTTTACTAAGGAAAACACCTCAATCATAATTTTGGTTTTTAAAACATTGCTCTTAATGCAGTAATCAGAAGCAGAGGCGTGTAATGGAAAATATTCATGATTTGTTCTTCTAAGGGAGCAGATTGAGCCGTTTCGAAAACTTCAACAGCATTGTCAACAATAATTTCAGTAGTAATAGATTGATCAACACCAAGGGGCTAAAAGAAGCAGGAACATCGATCATTTTTTCTTAAAAATAAACTAAACTCAAATCCAGTCTTTGAGAAAAAAGTTGAACAATAGACGGGTATTCTTTTGTAAAGAGTTCTCATATGTACTGCTGCTATTTAAACACAAGATCTCTAAGTTATGCATGAGCCTTAAAACATTGAGAGAGTTTTCTAAGAATCTAGCATGAGGAGCAGTATTATGATATATTTTCAAATTCTACCTACTGCCAATATTTAGATGCCGGAGATTCAACGCACCCCTTTATGAAAAAGTTTAGTGATGATCAATTCTACCAAAACTCTAGTCGCATTATTTAAAAAAAAAGTTGTTCCAATATCTACTTGTAAAGTTTTTTTAAAGATTGAGATCAAAAGAGAATGTAGATTAGTTCAAATAGTGCATCAGACAAAATTGTGAAAAAGAGATCCAAATTACAGCAATAGGAGGCTCCATGGAGCAATCAAAATGTGGAGATCATTTTAACATGTGCATCAGGAAACTATTAATGTTATAGGATCGTCATGAGAATAGTTTATGTAATCTGCTTCAAATAAGAGCTTTATTAATACATGCCAAGGTCCAGTGAGCTCGATAGAGTAATCATCTAAAAGTTTTAGAGCAGACACAAAATAATTGAGTTTGAGAGGCATGTCAAACATGTAAATCTTCTCCCTAGGAACCATGAGAGCAGGCTTGCTCTGGAAAGTTGAAGAACGGGTGTTTTGAAGATTTTTAAATGGTAGTTTATTAGAGTACTAGCTGTGTGCTTTACCAACATTGATTGTGCCCAAGAAAGATGGATTGTGGTGTATGTGCATTGGTGCTAGGGCACTGAAAAAAGATTACTATCAAGTACTGGTTTCACATTTTGAAATTAGGTGACTTGTTGGATTAATTGTACGAACCCTTGTTTAATTGTACGAACCCTTGAGGCTCGCCTCAACACTCTTGTATAAAAAATCACAATGAGGTGTAGGCATTGATGCCCAAGAAGGATGGATTGTGGTGTATGTGCATTGATACATAGGAAATGAAAAGTATTACTATCAAGTATCGGTTTCACATTTCGAAATTGGGTGACTTGTTGGATTAAGCGTATGGAACCCTTGTTTAAATTGTGCAATATGAGGCGCCTTGATGCTCGCCTCAACGCTCTTGTATAAAAAATCTCAATGAGGCTTACGCCTCATTATCCCATGGTGAGGTGTACGTCTCACCTAGGTTGCGGCGTCTTTCATTTAAGAAAGCAAATCAAAAGTTTGAGGCTATCCGCAATTTTTTTGTTAAACTAAAAGTATTTTCTACATACCTTATTCTATTAATTCTCGCACCTCACATACTAAATAACACTAAACAAAATGAAAAGATATCCATAAAAATTTTTGTAGTTAAAATTTTAATTATCAACATAGTTATTATTTTAATTAATATTTTTATTGATTATTATTTATTAAAAAATTGAAGATAATTGAGATTAAAGAAAATGAGAAATAGAAGAATTTAGATAAAACTATGAATAAGGAGTGAGATCAATAATTCATTATGATGGTGATTTTAATGAAGATCAATTGGGTGACAAGAGTAAGAGAGATTTTTACATTAAAAAATTTTGAATGTTGTTGACTTGTTATATTCTTGTTTAAGTGGGGGATAATATTAGTGGAAGAGAAATACTTATTTTGAACTTATTTTGATTGTTATATTTTGATGATTTAAGATTTTCTTTTAATATCTTAAAAACTTACTTTGATAGTTTAATATTAGTATAACTAATCTTGTTTTTTAATTTAATGTTTAGGATATTAATATTTTACGTATAATTTTATGCAATTTTATATTATTACTTTTTAATGTGTTAATATGTTAGAATATTAATATTTTATTTCTTATGTCACGCTTTATAATTTATACAATATTTTATTAATTTACATTATTTATTTTAAATTTGTTGCTTACGCCTCACCTCAGGAATGAAGAACTTCTCTATACTCAATTGCACAATGTTAAATCTTGCATGGAGCTAGCATCTTTTTCAAGATAGCTCTGCACATTAAATACCATTGGATTTGGATAGGCTCGTGGATGAATGAAAGACTGTTTTCAAGATGTAAGATGGATTGTATGAGTAGACAATCATGTCTTTTGGCTTGTCCAATGCACCGAGCATTTTTATGACTTCTTGTCCTTGTGTCCTCTTCATAACCTATTTCTCATTTTTTATTCCTTTTTGTCACAAATGTCATTGCCAGTACTATTATTACCATCATTTGTTGTCTTTCATACTGCTCCTTTTACTGCATCAATGGTCTCAGGAAGAATTGAAATCAAAACTCATCTACTCTGCTAAATCTATGAATTAATACGATCTACCTTTTAGAACATATTTGAATGTTGTTCACCTTTTTGAATCTTGACCAACTACCCAGCATAAGTTACCATCCCTCGCTTTTAATGCTTTCCTTATTGTTGTTGCGTGGGTTCCTTAAATATTTAAACTACTGCAGCGAATATATTGTGACAAACATTTCTACTAGAACTTACTGTAGAAGCTCATTTATCAGGCGTACTTGAATTAGATGTGTTCTCCCTCACAAGGATTTGAAATTCTAAATTAACTTTTATGCATGCATGGATTGTTCTTTTATTGTAGGATTCTAAAATGATTTGTCTGCTCTATGGACCATTTCTCTTGAATATTTTTGAGACGAATAGTCTGAGCTTTCTTATTCTTTTAAGTCAGAAAATGATTCAAAATTCATGGATTACATTTAATTTCTTGATCAAGTGTTCTCTAGTTTGGTTACAAAGGAATATTAATGAATTTGAGTTTATGTTTGTTATTTGTTTCAGTTAACTGCTGTGCTTGGGGAAATTGGGCTTAACATTCAAGAAGCACATGCTTTTTCAACAAATGACGGCTATTCATTAGATGTATTTGTTGTCGTTGGTTGGCCTTTTGAGGTACTTTAACAAGTGGATTTTCACATAAGGCTGTTGTTACAATCTATTTCATATTACAGTGATAAACATGGTTTTATAACCTATAGAGTGCTTTGATGAATGTAATTTATTATTGCTTCGATGAAAATGCTTATTTATAGTGATACACATACTTATGGAGCAAATTTCTAGCGGCCACTATACACTTCATACTAAAAATGGTTAAAAAAGTGCTGCAAAAGCACTTAATCCAAGAGAATTTTTAAGATATTTCTCTCCGAAGTCATTGATTTGGCCAAATACCTTAAGATTTAATGCGTCACCCCCGTGCCTCATCGAGCTGACATTTCATGGTTCTCTCCGCTGTTTTCAGCCTTGATAGCTGCCATATGCCTCTTATCTCCATCCAAAAGCCGTTAACCAATCATATTTTTTCTTCCCTTGCTATTTCACAACCTCCTCTCCGCTGTTTCAAGTAGGCCCACCTCTCCTTGAAGAAAAAAATTGAATGGAAGAGGTTTGATAATAAATATTAGCTTCATCATATCCATGGAGGTGTTCGCACAATTCTTTGAAATTCTCAAGGTCATTTATAGTATATATATTTTAAAAATATTTTAACTTAGGTATATAATTTCTAAATTCATTTTTAGAACTCCTTTCAACATGAAGTTTTTACGTCTCGATGGTTGTGTGCTACGAGAATTTGGACGCCCCCAGACTCTCTTGTTTGTTGAGAGAGCTTTGAGGGCCAAATTTTTTAGAAGACAGATTGAGTTGTAGATGAGTCACTGCCTAGAGATTTCGCTCTCACTTTGCAAGGACATTATGATTTGAGGTTCAAGGTTTCTTATAGACGCAAGCCGCTCTAGTTAATTACTCCTTCTGATAATATGAGAATACTTTCAATTATTGCTAGTTATTAATCATTAAATATTTAACATATATTAGTAGTAGATATATATATATTAAATTGTAAAATTTATAATTTGGAACTTAAAGCAGATGGTGAGGGAAATGATGACGAACCAAATCAAGATCTAATGGTTATGTCGTCTCAAGTCATTCTTGTCCCAGATGTACTTAGTCAGGAGAGGAAGTAGACCCAACCTGAGTGAAGAATCTTTGTCAGGAACAATTGGTTGCGTCATCTAAGGAATCCTTGT